CTGTCGACGGCGGAGGAGTACGCAGCGGCTGGTTTTGGCGACGCTGGGAGCATCGACGTTGTTGGGTGCGACGACTGCGACAGGGACACGCACTGCTACGCGCCCGGGACGGCGTCTGCGAGCATGAGGAACGGTGTGTGCGTGTGCGTGTGCGGCAGCGGCGGGTACGGCGAGGCGTGCGTGCCTGTGGGAGCTCCCGTGCTGCCGCCCGCTGTGGGCACCGCACCGAGTGTTTTTTTCCGCGAGGGCGTAACGGTGCAGTCGGTGTTCGTTGTGCCTGCCGGCGCGAGCGAGGTGACGCTGCGCCACGTTGTGCTGGACGGCGTGAGTCCGGTGCTCTACGTGCCGTGGATGGCGCGGGAAGGCGTGCGGATCGTTGTGCAGAACGTGTCGCTGCTGAACGGTGCTGTGCTGTACGTGATGGGCGGTGGAGCGTTGCGCGGTGCGGGAGCGGCGGTGAGCGACGAGAGCGGGCCGGTGGAGCTGTCCGTGTGCGATGTGGAGGCGCTGAACGGTGCGCTTGTGCTGACCGGCACGTATCCTGCGGGGTCCGTGCTGACGGTGACGGACTCCCTGCTGGTTGCCGCGAGGTCGACGCCGCTTTTGTATCTTCTCGGCTCGCAGTCCTCTCCGTACGCACCGGTGCTGGTGCTGTCGGGCCTGCGGCTCGTGCGGTCCGTGCTGGTTGTGTCCGGCGTTGCCCTCGTGACCGTGATGACTGGTGGGCGGACGGTGGTGGTGGACGGCGCTGTGCTGGAGCTTGTCGGTGGCGGTGTCGCGCTGGACGCGGCTGTGTTCGGCGGCGACTATGCGTTGTACGCGAGTGCGCGCGTGGTTGCGTTGGGGGGCGCTGTGCTGCGCGTGTCGGGGAGCCAGTTGTACGCCGCGCATGGATTGGTGTTTGGCGGCGGTGTGGTGGCCAACGCGTCCGCCGTCGTAGTGAACGACAACGCCGGTGCGCTGACGGATGGCGCGCTGCTGGAGCTGCGGGGGTCGGCGTGGTTTGCGTTCGGGTCGTGGCTGTCGGTGCGCGGCAACAGCATCAGCGGCAGGCTCCTGTCGGTGCCGTCGTACCCGCGCCGTGCGGAGCTTGTGCAGAGCACGCTGACGCTCCACGGGAACGCCGGCAGCGGGCTTGTCGTGATGGACGGCACCGTTGCGCTTGGGGGAGCCGGCCGAAGGTTCGTTGTGGGGTGCCTGACGCTCAACGGGCAGGCGCTGCAGCCGATGGACTACAGGTCGGCCGGCATCATCGGGGAATTCCGCCCCGTGGCGTGTGGCGTGTGCGACGCCGACGTGCGCTGCTTTGCTGCTGCGACGAGGGCGATGTCGGGGTCGTGCGGCTGCCGCTGTGCTGAGGGCGGGTACGGGCGCGACTGCCTGCCGGTGTACCTGCCGCACGTGGACGGATGCAACCGCACGCCTGACCCACCGCTGAGCCACACGGCGACGCTGACGGAGACGCGCAGCCCGACGCCGACGTGGACGCCGAGTCTGAGCGCGACGCACTACAGTCAGACGGAGACCCTGCGGGTGACGGAAACGACGGCGCTGCCGCCCACGCGGACCCCGACAGCGTCGGTGAGCGGCTCGCTGTGGTGGAGCGACGTGGCGTGCCCGACGCTCGCCGTGACGACGACGGCGGCTGGTGGCAGCCTGACGCAGAACGACATCCGCGGCGGTGGGAGCGCCGTCCCGACGCGGCTGATGGTGGCGCTGCCGCCGCCGTTTCGATGGGCACGCGACCCGCAGCTCGGCACGCACCTGAGCTTCGTGCCTGTGTCGACGGCGCAGCCGCGCGGCTTTGGCGGTCCGTGGGGAGCGATGCTGAGCAACGCGACGTGGGTGCGCAACGCGACGAATCCGTCCACCGTCCTGGAGCTGGCTGTGCCCGTACACCGCGGTTACTTCATTGGTGCCGACGAGACGGTAGTCATTCGCTGCGACGCTGCGGCGGTGTCCAGCGGCTGCAAGGGTGTGCTGCTTGGGTCCTTCACGATCAGGTCTGACACGCTGCCCGCTGCCAGCGCCCTCTCGGCGATCACCGGCGTTGCTGGGGGTGCGGCGGCTGTTGCGGTGGTGGTGACCGGCGGGCTGGGCTCCGTCCTGGAGATGCAGGCGCTCGGCGTGTTCGCGAGGATGTCATGCGCCTCGGCGCAGGAGCGTGCGAGCACCGTTGCGCTGCCGTACTTCCTGTCGGTGTTCGCTGCTCTTGACCCGCTGTGGATGGTGGTGGGCAACGCGCTGCTCGCCGCGGTGTTCGGCTGCGTGCACTACGGTGTGACGGCGGCTTTCCAGCGGTGGCGCGGCGTGGACGCGGCGACTGCGTGGGCGGCGACGCGCTTCCCGAGCCTGACGTACGTCGTGGCGCACGCGATGCATCTCGGCATCTTCTTCGGCTCCGTGCTTTCACTGGCGATGCCCGGCGCCCGCGTGCAGCACCGCGTGGTTGGTGTCGTTGGCGTGCTGTACGGTGTGGCGTTCCCTGCTGGCGTGTGCTACTTGATTGCCCGCCACACGGGCGCGAGCTTCACGAGGTACTGGCAGTTTTCGAGGAAGCCGCTGCACGAGCGCCTGCTGTACCCCGTCGGGTATTGGCACCCCGCGGCGCAGCAGCGGATGTACGGCGGCCTGCTGACGAACATGAGGGGCGGCCGCGTGTACTGGTGCGTGTTCCAGCTGTCGGTGCTGTGTGTGGTGTGCCTGATTGCGGCTGTGCACCCGCCCGTGGGAGGCTGCCACGTCCTGTACTTCTGCATGGCGGCTGTGCTGCTTGCGGGTGCGGGCGTGGTTGCCTTCACGAACATGATGCGCTCGTCCTTCCTGACGGTGATGCACGCGACGAGCTTTGTGCTCCTTGCGGCGCTGTGCGTGGTCAGCGCGGCCAACCATCTTGCGCCGAGCGACGGCGGTGCGAGGGCGTACGTGGCTATCGTGCTGCTGCTGGCCACTGTGCTGCTTGCGGTCACTGTGTACAGCGTCGTTGTGTGGTACGCGGAGGACCACCACTGGCAGGAGCTGCGCGAGCCGCGGCGTGGAGGGCTGGAGACGCTGCTGCGCGATGACGAGGAGAGCGACGAGGAGACGCAGAAACTCCACGACATGGCGTCATCGTCGTACGTCTCTGGCACCACCGTTGCGTCGTCGTACCGACCACCCGCATTGCCGTAGCAGCCCATGGCCGGTGACACCCGCTCAGACACTCTGAGCTTGTTCGACCGTGCATCCAGTGCGAACTGCAGCATTAATTGTGTTCCTCTGGACAGGTGAAGATGCTCCGCTTGACGAAAAGGCTGGCGCAGTTTCTTTCTTTTGGGATGGAAAGGCTCCGCCCCCAATAGCGCCGTTACGCGGTGAGAAGACGCAAAGCCCCTTGCAGACGCGGCATAACGTGGATGCGTCTGGCAGGGATCTTCTTTCCATTATTCATAGACTGATTGGGTGATTGATTTGGTGTTTTTATTCTATTTTACCGATTATCGACGACAACGGATTATCGAACTATCACGTCAGCCCGGGGCGGATGCGTAACGGGTGTGTGCGTGTGTTTTGCGCCCGCCGCTGCAGCACCGAGTATGGGGGCTGCTGCTTTCTCTATTTCATATCTGTACTCTGTAATGAGGACATGCTTGACGGTGGTGGCTGGTGTGCGGGCCATAGGATGCATTCAGGAAAACGTTAGAGAAAACAATCGATGAGGCCCTTCTGTGACGCGTCAATTTCTGGAGGTTGTGAGTGTGCGTTGCTGGCTGACATGAGGGAGGACGTGGGGGCCACGGCTGTGCAGCTGCGCGGCCACCCATCGGACTCCGCCCTGACCTCGTCATTGATTGTTGGTTTTTGTTGGTTTGTTTCTATTTTGTTGTGCGGGTGCCTGCAGTGACTCTCCCTCCTGTTGCACGATGACTGTGTGGGAGGGCATGCCTGTCGCTCTTTATACTTCTGATTTTGTGTAGAGCGAACAACAAGAGAAGGAACGAAGAATTATGCGGAATGACGTATTACTTTGCTTGTATATCGATGTATTCTTGTGGGCTATTGTATCATTTCTCTTTTTTTCTAGTAACTTGTGAAGAGAATGATCGCGCGAGAGCTGGCGAAATTAGTATATATACATATACATCCTGATAAACGAATGCACTCCTTTATGATACTTTTCCTATCTTATGAATTCTTGGGGAGAACACGAATTTATTGGGGCATGGAACCGATAGGGGCCAGATATTTTTCTATTTCTCCATTCTACCCGTCCCCTTTTTGTTTCCTACCTCGCGGCGGGGTCTTGTGGTTGGAGGAGTCCAAAGTCCGCCACTTCGTAGGTAATAATATTTCAGATCCTATCTGAGTGCAAAGTCCAAGCGAGGGGTCAAAAGAATATATATATATAATCAGAAAACAACATTGAGGCAATGAACTGCCCTTGCTTTACCTTCTGTTTCCTTCCTGTCGTGTTTGGTTTCTTTGGATAATTTCAGGATCCGTCCAGCGGCCCAGAAGATTATTCTCTTTTTTTTTCTTTACGTTGCTCCGCACATGTCTCAGTGTTTGTTTTGTTGCGGCCACACACGGGTAGTTTGAGTTGCGGATAGTTTTTCTACTTGACGTCGTTTTGTGTTAGGCACTAACACGGGCACGTTCGTCAAGCATCCACTCTCCACAGCATGGCGCCTGGCATTTTGGAGTCATCCCAGATGTAACGCAGGCACCGCCGCCGTGGCACTCATGGCAAGCAAGGTGGAACGCGGGATAGTGAAGGATATTGCGCTGCACTTGTGTCTGCTGCATTAGTTCTGTCGTGGTGGCCTTCAATGTAGAAGAATAGGGATGAACTTTGCACTGTTCCGCGGCTTGGAGGATGATGATTACATGTCGTGTCAGAGTGTCAGTAACACTTCATTTGCATCTTGCGATTCTCAAGAGGATTTGACATCCCTTCCACAGAATGGAAAAGTTTTTTTTTGTTTCTTGTCAATTCCGCCAGTCGTTCTGTGTTGTGGGTCATGAATCGACCCATTCACGTGCAGTTGAAGAACCCCTGTGTTGTGTGGCCGTGCGATTCACATTCTGACGTGGGCTTTGAGATTACGGTGAGCGGGATCATGGTGAAAACTGAGCCTACATTAGAGGCCGGTGCTGAGCTTATGAAGGTTATCGTTATCACCTTCAGTGGGGTTGCCGTGTGTGCAAATGCTGCTAAGGAGCAACCGCAAAAGATTGTGGAAATTGATCATCTCAGTATGCGCATGACCTCCGTGTACAGTTCTGCGGGTATTCTCTGTCGCAAGAACGTTGCTATTGTTTTTGACGGCGTATCCTCGTTGTTTTTTGATGAGGATGCATTGCGGTCTCTCACAAGGTGCGCCGTGAGCCATGGGATCATGAAAGAGGTTCCCGAGTATTGCCGTCCGTTTTATAAGCTGCGTTCATTGAGTTCACGTTGGTCCCACGCCAAAAGTTGTGTCTTCGCTTTTATACGGGACAGGAGGGGGCGTTACAACTTTAATTCGTTGCACCTTCACTTCTACGCCGAAGCCCGCACGTCGTATCTTGCGCTCTTGGATTACTGCCATCGCACACGGGACATTGCGGAAAGGAGGGAGCAATTGGCCGATATTGAGGGTGATATTCGCTATCGTGATGTGGTGTTATTTTTGAGGCGCAAGGTTCAAGAGAGATACTCCACGACGGTACTTGCTGGCAGTACAGGGGCGGGTGTGACACCGCCGCCGACGCTGCCTTCAGATGCTCGTGAATTTGTTGTTGTCTTGTCTCTTCACGTGGACGCGAAAATTACGTGCGTGTGGTTGCCTGCTGAAACAACGGTGTGGCTGCGTGATGTCGCGTTTGTGAAGCGCCACGGGGAGTCCAATTTTTCGGTTGGGAATGTCACATTGGTTGCGGGGGGAAAGTCTCAGCTGCTACGGGCGCCGGATTCCGGGGAACCGTTTTTTTCTCTTCAGCAAACCGAAAGCAATGGCATGACTTTTGTCAGGACGACGTTAGAAGCGTTGCGTTTTATCACCACATCTAATTGGATGCTGCAATTGGTTCAGCCTATCATGGTTGCCATGCCACGCGTTCTGCGGGCGATTCCAGAAACAAATTGT